AATGGTCATTCGGATGTTGTTAAAGAAGCTGTGCATAATGCTGTGGTTCAGAAGGTTGTCACGACTTCATCGTCTGTATCAGCAGAAGCAGTCCCCACATCTCATCCTGTGCACCAAGATCTCTTCAGTCTGTCAATAGCGCAGGACCCAGCAACTTCCTCTTCCCCTCCGTCAGTGGATCTGTTTGCTGGCTTTGACCAACAGCTGCCACCTACGTCTAGTGTTCATCATATTGCACCAGCAGCTCCATTGCCTGCTAATGAAGGGTGGGCATTCTTCGACACACCTCAATATGGTTCGTCAACTTCTGTTTCAAATGTGCAAGCTCAGGTGCCTGCTGCATTGCCAAGTGTTGTTGCCAAAGCAATTGATCGATCAACATTGCCAAATTCACCACCAAGTGCCATCATGTCGCAAACATCTCCGCCTACTATGGACCAGTGGAGTTTAAATGCTGAAGAGGTGAAAATCCCTGTCTCCAAGGAAAACTCCCAGGTACTTCAGCATTCGGTATATAAAGCTGTGAAGCTTGCTGCAGCTTTACTTTTACTGAGCTAAATATGAATTTTGATTTCCTTGGTTGCTTCCTAGGACTGGAATGCCTTTGGTGAATCCACTGGGAACATGCCTAATAATGTGTTTGCATTCAATGATATGCCTCAAGTAGCACCTCATCAATTTGCCATACCCAGTGTTCCATACATGGAATCCAGAACTTCGCAGGTGTGTGTAACTGGCGTTTTGATCACTTTAAAAAGCTGAAAAAAACATATTTCTTTATTTCTCAAAGAAGGCTGGACTGAACAGTTTGAACCATTCTTTTAGGACTTGGTTAGGGGTGAGCCTGAAAGGTCAACTCCTGGGGATATATTCCCTGGCTTCAATGTCTCTCCTGGTGTCCTGGCTGAGCCATCATTTCCTGCACCACTTCAACCCCAACTGGTATGTGTTCTCCATGATTGAAGGTTCTCTCCTCATGCTTCCCTGACATTCGTTCCATATGATTGGAAGCTAGCTTACATGGATATATATGTGGGATGGTTTGACATATGATATGTATTTTGTGTTTCCCCATGATCTAATTTACTGCGGTACTTGCTAAAATGTAAGTTCTATTAAGGTGATACGAGGCCTTACAGTTCTCTAGCTCTTACTGCATGTGTATCGAGGCATGCTACATGCCTTCTCCTGCCTTTGCATGCTTGGATTGTGACTGCTTTCATGTATGTATACAAATTGTTGGTGTAGGAAAGATTTGCGATGTTGTATTTGCTTTATTTGCCTGTCATGGGGCTACTGGACAACTTGAGCCATTTTACCCCAGTTCTTTTTAACTGATCTTTTGAATCTGGTTTCAGGGCATGGTGTCTCATGCTGGAAAATCAACAAATCCGTTTGACATGGCATTTGAGTCTGATGTTGAAGCCATCGACATGGTGTGTAACTGTACTGCTATTTTCTGGTTTGCACTTATAACTGTTTGTAAACACACTGATGTTGAAGCCAACGACATGGACTACTAATAGTTCCTCTTGTTTGTAAACACACTGTAAGCTTTAGAATAAACCGTTGCTGACTAACACACGATATCCTTTTACATTCTTCTCTTATTGGGTGCTACTCCCTCCGTTCCGAATTACTTGTCTTGGATTTGTCTAGATACGGATGTATCTAGACTCATTTTAGTGCTAGATACATCCGTATCTAGACAAATCCAAGACAAGTAATTCGGAACGGAGGGAGTACTTCAGAATGCAGTTGTTTCAGTACTGCCAAAACCCTGTCACAAGGGAAACCTCTGTTTCTTTGTGTTCTTATTTATCATCTTTTCTATTCCTCTTTTCAGTTTATGGATTTGACCTCACTACAAGCAACATTGCCGGATACTCATCTTCCCGCAGAATACTCCATCAACTTAGCAGAGCCATGGATGTCTCAGAATTCTACCGTGCCATATATTCCTTCTGCATCTCAGGGTAATCCGCCTCTTCATGCCAAATTGATCGTCAAGCAGAAGTACACAAGTAGACGAACACACTAACTCTCATTGTTCATATACATTATCTTATTCTTTGTTGAGTCCAGGAGGGTTGTCGTACATCCCGGGGCAAGTACAAGACTCCCATATGCTGTAAGCTCCTCCGACACCTGTTCTTATAGTTTGTAAGACCTTATGTTTTACATGATGCCCTGTAACAGGAACTCAGCACAGCAAGGACAGTTTCCACCAAGAAATCCATTTGATGAATGAGAGTTGCTGGTGAAGAACGGCGCTGATGATGAACAGATGAGGAGAGCCGATTTGCACCGCTCGGAACCCAAAAGGACCATCGGGTGTACTATATGCTTGAAACCAGAAACAGCACAGTAGATATCTTTCGATTTCACTGTCTCACTCTCAGCTTTCCTGTATATTGCTAGAAAGGAATGTGCAGAATTCTATATGGCCGGTGCGCTGGAGTCTTTTCACCTGAAGCAAAGCTGCTGTGTCCTTCAGCTCTGTTGTATATTGCTGTGTGGTGGTTTTGTGAAAACCATGAGTCTGCTTTTATTTTCCACAGTCTGTCATTTGCCCGTGGTTTGGGTCTGTGTTCTATTTGAATCAAAATAGGATATTATTGACTCATTTTCAGAAGCAGGGGATCATCCGCATTCTTCGGTCCTTCGTGATCTTTATCTTTAAGCAAAAGTACGGTGGCTCGTCAACTGACTGAATTTGTTGTGAGATGTTACTTGAATTGGTGCTAGCTTGCCTTGTTCATCACATCTCCCTCATTAATGCATTTATACTCCCTCCGTTCCGAAATATAAGTCTTTTTAGACATTTCAAATGGATTACAACATACGGATGTATGTAGACATAGTTTAGAGTGTAGATTCACTCATTTTGCTCTGTATGTAGTCATCTGTTGGAATCTCTAGAAAGACTTATATTTGGGAACGAAGGGAGTACATGTTAATCATATGGATACTATTAAAATGGAGCTATTGCCTTGTTCATCTCATCTCCATGCCGCTGTTCACCCTTCTTTCGCCATCACCCCTCATCATGCACGTGCCCCTCGGGCTGTAGTCGTTGTTGTTGAACCCTTGAATCGATCCGAAGAACCTGACACTAAAGCTCGTTGTTGTGTATGCACAACGAGAAAACCTAACCTCACCGTCTCAAGGAGCTGGCAGGAATATGTTGGCAGGAATATGTGCTGGATCTATGTCTAATTGGTCCCGAGAGAGAAACTTGAAGAGAATCGAAGCCCAAAAGACTAACTCAAAGAAGAAGGGTCGCCATTTGTCCAAGCGTCGGTCTTGCGAGAACTAAAACAATAACCTATCTACTAGCCGGAGCCAAGTTATTACTTCCCGACACTTACGTCTAAGCAACCAAAGAAAATGGATCACTTCTATTCTTTTGGAGATCATTTATATCTTCTCTAAACACTCTTATATTTCCTTACGAAGGGAGTACCATGTAAACAAGATGCCAAAGACGACAAAGCTCACGAGTCACGATGATATAAGAAAATTCCTTACATAACACTATCTTAAACTTTGCTTCCCTATTTAACATCAATAATTTTTTCTTCCTTACCCAACACTAAGGCTAAAATTTATGCCTTTTATAACATTTTCATTACTTCCGTTAGCACATACCATTACTCCATTAGACACTTGCCAGTTCTGTTTAGTGGACAAAACTGCCCCTGCTCGCACGGAAAAAAAGAGGCCGAGCCGGCAGCTCTCTCCCGACCACGACTCGTCCTTGTCGTTTCCCCCTCTTCTCCTAACCCTAGCTACCGGTGGCGGCGCCAATCCTCCTAGCAGCGGCGACAACAATGCTCCTGGAGGCGTCGGGGACTACGCGATAGGCTGGGGGAGATGGAGGGCGACTACGCTGCGAGGGCAGCCAAGGAGCGGCTTCAAATGGCCGGCACAGGGGTTGCAACATCCTCCTCTTCCACAGCCGACCAGCCCCCATCCTTGTCTCCGCCCTAGCCGCCCCTCCCAGCCCCGACCATCATGTGATCTGCGCCGGCCGAAGCAAGCTGATCGACAGCGACCTCAAGGTAAAATTGCTTCTTTGGTCAAGTGAAAAAAATGTTGCTTCTTTGGTCAAGTGAAAAATATTGGACACAAGTTGCACCAGGGGTAAAAATGTCTTTCCAGGTGTCGTTTAACACCCTTAGTAGGCAAAATGGATGGAAGCGTCACAAAGGGAGCACATTTTATACTTGGTGTTATATAATGAAGAAATAGTTTTCCGGTGTCAGATAGGGATTTTTTAAGACAATATTAAATAAGGAATTCTCTCATGATATATTGATAGCCATACATAGTTACATACGCAAGAGCCAGATCAAAATACGAAAGTACCTTTGTACGAAGAGGTTTGATTACTGATAAAATGAGTGGAAGAGCTGCTCGGTCAAAGACATTCTCTCAAGTAGCAAAGGCATGTGCTCCTGGTGTGAAAGTAAAATAAAAAAATTCAAAAAATTATGATTTTTTTTGTGGCATACTTCCGCAAATGTTTGTTGTGCATGCAAAATTTTAT